GCTGGGGTCTGCCTCCCTCAGAGGCAGGCTGGACGTGGCGTGCACCAGGGTGTGCTCGAGGGCGCGCCCAGAGCAGGAGCGCAGCAGCCCTGGCCAGGCTCAGCCCTGGAACAGGGTTTCCAAGCTGTCACGTCCCACGACTGAGCACTCAGGGTCACTCCAGGGGAACTGGGCTGCACGAAATAACCACACGGAGACAGAGAGACTCTTCTTTGGGTCCTCTGACCCTCGGGGTCCCTGGAAAGAGAGCGAGGAGCACGTGTGAACCCTCTTATTGAGAGAAGCCATGCAAATGAGGCCAGGGGTAGGATTCCAAGGAACAGTGAGCGTAGCTCAGCCCATGGTGACGCCTGCACCGCGAGCCAGCCTTGCTATCCCAGCGGGGACAGCGCCCAAGTCCCACGAAATGTAGTGACTGGCCAGAGCCTCGAGCAGCAGGGCTGGAAGGTGTGGTCATTTGGAGCGGCTCCCCACAAAGCACTGTCCCCTGAGGAGAACCTGAAGGTGGGCGTGGCCATCAGCTGGCGGGCAGTATAGAGGATGGCACCAGCCATGGAGTGGGCACCTCCAGGAAGCCGGGGGCACGTGGGGCACTCAGATGAAGGGCGATGGCCCAGGCCAGAGCAGAGTCTGGGCCTGGACCAACAGGAGTGAGCTGGGCAGCGTGGCGCATTGGTTGGTGGCCTCAGCCCCTCCCCAGAGTCCTGGCCACAGAGTACAGGGGACCCAGCAGGCTCCCGCCGCAGACCCTGGCAGACAGGGCTCCACATCCACGGTCAAGGACGCGCGGGTTCCCGCCCCGCCCCACGGGTGGGCCAGTGCGCGACTCTCCCGCCAAAGACACACACCCTCCATCCTCGGGTGACAGCGCCTCGGACGAAGCCAACCGGGGACTTTCCCCAGGAGTCCTGGCCAGGGACCTGCGAACGTCAGGGAAAGGCCACCAGTGCTCTGGACGGAGGGGAAGAGGAAGACAGAGGGACTTGGTGCCACGTGTGGACCCCACCAGGCCGGTCTCCACTGTAGGGGATGTGACTGCAACAACCGGGAAGCCTGGACGGTGCACGTGGAACGTGGGGGGAGAGGTCCCGGTTTGTAGGGGGCGTGCTGCGGCCATGGGCCGGGCTGCAGATCTGAGGTGACCTTTTTATTGGCGGAACCCGGGGACTTGCCCTGTAGGCCACTGTTCGCACCACATCCCCAGCCCACGAGGAAAGAAGGAAACGCCCTCTCCCAAGAGGTGTGTGGTGCCCAGTGTTCTTGGGCATGGTCCTGACGCGGGCAGATGGCCAGCTGCCCTGGCGCTGTCAGCCCATCCACCTATGCAGCAGGAACCTGAGGCCTCCTGGGCCTGGGTCCACGCCAGGACTGAGGGGCCGCGTTCCTACCCATGGCAGCGCAGCGCAGCGCAGCAGGCCAGGCCCCCGGAGACTCCTCCTGCCTCACAGCTCCGCGCCCCGCTCTGCCCCTCCATGGTGCTCCTGGCCGCTGCCTCTCCATGGCCGGCTGACCGCTGCTGTGCTGCAGTAGGTGACCTCAGGGCCACCCAGGCTGGGCAGGCACCAGGAGAGGCTCAGGAACAAAGAAGGCCACACCTGGGCATGGGTCGGGGACAGCGGGTCCCGGGTGTGCCCACTCACCCACTGACTGGGCATCTCAGGGTCAGGTACGACCTCCTCTACCAACCACTCGGTCCACCTCCATGTGACGCTGGCACCCGCTGGCTCTGAGCCTGCTTTCTAGTGTCACCTGGCCAGCAGTCTGTCTCCACATGACACTGGCCCTGCTGGGCGGCTGTGGTCCCGTATGCCACGGCTCTGTGTACCCACAGCAGCCTCCCTACTGTGGCACTGCGACAGGAGATTGGCCGGGCTCCCTGGTCACCATGGCGTCTCGGGTCGGGGCTCTGCTCAGGCTGTCCTGGCCTAGGGCTGTCCTGCTCGGCCTCTGCTCTTGTGAAGTGACTACATCCTCAGAGACCCATGGGTCACCCAGTTTCTTTGGCCTCTGTCCCCGTCAGCTATCACACTGCCTGTGGCTGTCCACTGGCCAGTGGTTGGATCTTGGGTTGGGACTGATCAGGGTGTCCACAGTCCCGTGGGGAGTGGGGGGTCTTGGCTCCAGGCTTGGGCACTTGCGGGGTAGTGCTGAGACTGCTGCAGGAACGAGGCGGTCCCCAGCCTGCCCCTAGGCAGCCCTGCCCCTTCTTCCCGCTTCCTGCTGCCGGCCCAGGCTGGGCTACTGCTTCTGAGTGGGTTGCCTCCAGAAACTGAGAGTGAGACCCGGAGAGACCCAGGCCCTGCTGGCTGGCGGCGGCTTGCCCCCGGGCGAACGTGGGGGCCCAGCACAGCCTCGGGAGTGAGGCGAGCAGAGTGGCACAGAGACAGTGTGGGGCCAGGAGCAGTGGTGGCCACGGCTGCTGGCGCTCTGGGGGCATCCGTGCGGCATGCTGTCGTCCAGATGCGCAGAGGGGATTTGGGCAAATGGAATCAAGCCCATTCTCTGTGCTTCAGGAAGCAGGTGGCCGCCAGGGCTGGAGGGTGCGGTGGCAGGGGCCACAGGCGGCTGCAGCACACTGCACCACCTGCTGGCACCCCAGGGATCCGGGAGGTGGCTCTCCGCAGCGGGGTGCCTGCAGAGCCGTGTGGCCCTGGACCTGAGCGGGCCGCGCCTGGGTTTCTCGTGAGGGAAGTGAGCATAGCGGGCGAGGTCAGCGTGTAGACCATTGAGAAGGTGCCTGGCAAGACTCCGTCCTGGGCCACGTCCCTGCTGGCCCCTGGAGGGCTGGATGAGGACCACGGGTGGCAGCCCAGGGGAAGAGGAGGGCCCGGGGACCCTGGATGCTGGGGGAGGCACATGCAGGGAAACCCACAGCCACAGGGACCGATAGAGGAGGACGTGCCCTGTGGTCTCTGAGTCAGTGGGGATGGCACTCCATCCACTGAGGGCAGCCTGGCCAGGCCATCCCTGGCCACAGCAGGTTGGATGGGCGGACAGTAGAGAGGAGGCCCCTGGCTGGTGGCCTAGGCAGTTCGCGAAGGCCTAAAGGTGCCACCTGGCCCTGCACAGCCCTCGGGGGCTTCAAGACCCCACCCCACATGTCCGTACTGCATGGACGGCTCTGCGTAGCTTGCGGCTCTGGGCCTCCTGCGCCAGGCCCCCCAGTGAGCGCAGCTCCTGGGCTAGTGGAGTCCACCTTGAAGACTGACGCAGTGTGTCTGGTCACCTCCACGCTGGGCCACTCTCTTCCCCTCGGGGCCAATAACGTTTTATCTTTTGAATTCGCTTAAATGAAGGAAGCACTTGGGCCGGGGCCTGAGCTCCTCCTGGGGCGCCTGAGCCGCGGCAGCCGTCCGCTTCGCAGTGCTGGCTTCCCAGCCGGTCCGTCCCTGCGACCCCTCTGCCTCCGCCCCAGCGTCCTACACAGGTGACTGGGGAGTCTAATTGACTCCGCTGTAAAAGGATAATTAATTGACATTTCCCTCCGGGAGAGGTCAGGCTGCCCGCTCCCATCCCTGCGCAGCCTCTCCCCAGGACGCCCTCCCTCGGGTGCCTGCCGACCTTTATCTTGCTGATAAAGCCATAATTGTTGTAATTAGCATCCACATAAAGGCTTTGGAAGTCACTCCCAGAGCTGGCCCCCTGGCCTCAGGGTCAGCCTGGCTGGAGGGGTGTGGGTTTGGAGGCCAGGGCTGGAGAAGCCCAGGACTGCTCCGGGAGCCAGCGAGGACACCGTCGGCCTCCCAGCCCCTCCCCCGGAGCACTGGCAAGGTGGGCCTCTTGGTGTCTCGGGGCTCCTGGGGACCCACGGAGCACACAGTTGGGATCATGCGCACAGCATGTCTCCCAGCCTGGCAGCAGCCATCCCATCTGGGGCTGGAAGACGCCCTGACGGCGCCCCGGAGGACGGCCCTGTGTGGGCTCCTGGACAGGCTCAGCTGCCCCCACAGCTGCCCGACGGCCGGCCCTGTGTCGCCAGCCGCCCCTCACAGGTGCTCTGGGCGTGGCCTGTCAGAGACCACCCTGCTGAGTGACCAGCTGTCCACTAGCCGAGGAGTGGAGGAGGCAGCGACCCAGCTGCACTGCTCTCCAGGGGCAAGGAGCAGGGCTCTGGGCAGGGGAAGGGCTGCCCTGGGGGACAAACGGACAGAGGGGTGAGGGCCCCAGGAGTCTGGCCCAGACGAAGGCAGTGCCAGGGAGGGTGGCAGGGCAAGGGCAGCTGGGGGGGTCCCAGAGCCACCATGTTTTGGAGGCAAAGTCAGTGTCCTCATGCCACTGCTGTGGCACAAACCGCGGGGTGGAGGGAACAGGCTGGGGGTGACTGGGGGCTGACCCCCGCTTCTGACTGCAGCACTGGGGTAGGAGCCGACGTCGGGGGAGTGGTGGGCAGATTTGGGGGTTGCGCCTGACGTCTGTGGGAGGGACACGTGGAGGCAGCGGGTGGCTAGCAGCAGGGAGAGCCCGCGTGGTCAGCGTGGCTGGTGCAGGCGCTGCGGGGAGCGGGCATCTGGGTGAGTGAATGGAAGAGCAAAGCCCAGCTGTCCCAGGGCCCTCGGTGTGGTCAGGTGGCCTTGCTGGGGAGGGACTCCTGGATCCACAGGAGCCAGACCTGGAAGGTTCCCTGCCAGGACGGTCCCCGCTCCCCCTCGGGTTCCTCTCACTGCAGTGGCCGGGTCCCTGCCAATTCAGAGCACCCAGGGATGGCGGAGGGGGAGTGGCGCTGCAGTCCCCGGAACAGGCTCTCCTGGGCCCCTGGTGCTCCAGGTTCTCTTCCTGCGGTGCCATCAGGTCAGGGCTCCGGGAGGGCCCGGGGGTTGGGCCACGGCTCCGCGGCCCATCTGGGCAGGGTGACAGGGCTTCACTCTCTGGTTTCATGAGATCTGACTGCAAATGCCTGGCCCAACTTGGTGGCCCACAGACAGCAGTTACTGTGACATTCAGGGAAGGCACAGCTTCAGACAGCGCAGTGAGCCTACGGCCGAGAGGTGGACCCTTGGGGCTCGGTTTGGACACGCATTTATTTGCTCAGCAGAAACTGTGTCCCTTCTAACCCCGCACCTGAGAATGGCAGGTGGCAGGTAAGGCCTCAGGTGCTGCCAGATGTGAGCCAAGCATCATCAGTGCTCCCCAGCTGGGGCCCGCCGGGCTGTCACCACCCAAGGAGGACACGAATGGCTGGGGTGTGGGTGAAAGCCGCCTTTGGCACTGCCAGAGTCATCCACAGATCCCTGGTCCCGTTGGCACCCTCGGCCTGCAAGGAGCCTGCAGTGGGTGAGGAAGTGGAACCAGGCCCTGGCAGCTCGGTGCCCACTGCTGCCCAGGCCACAAGCAGCACAGGGATAGCTGGGGACCGGGGGTGGAAGATGCAGATAAAATTGTCCTTGCCAAAGGAGGGACTGCTTTGGATAATGCACCACGAGATGAGATTAAGACACCTCTGAGAGAGATAATTCCCCCACCTGCAGCCTGGACGTACTGTAGAGGCCTGGCTCCCCACAGCAGCTCTGTCCCTCTCCACAGAAGTGGGACCCTGGGGAGGGGACATTAATGCCTCCAGCCCCAGGAACCCATCCAGAGCACACACGAAAGACACCCCTCCACTCACCCACGACTCACCACTCACCAAGGGAACCAGCCCCAAGAGCCTCGAGTGGGGTCCTGCCTGCAGACCCCGCCCCATCTGTCATGTCCCCTGCGTCTAGTGAAGCTGGGTCAGACAGACTGGGCCCCGGCCAACCCCTCACCAGGCCCTGCTCCATCCCTGCCTGGGTGCACCCCCTGCTCCACCTCCCATCTGCTACAAAGCACCATCCCTTGTTGTCCCACTGTGTCACTGCCTTGGGGACCCTCCATTATGGCTGAGGCCACTGTTCTCGCCCAGGCTCCCCCTTCAGAACCTCCCTGCCTCCAGCCTTCTCAGGAATATCAGGGTGGAGGCTGTCAGGAGGGTCCTCAAGCCCAGCCCCCATGGGAAAGTGGTTTCTGATGCATGTGCATGTGTGTGTGTGTGTGCATGTGTGTGTGTGCGTGCGTGCGCGCACGCACACACATGCACACACCCCGGGGGCTCCCAGGACCCCTGCACCAGCCTAGCATTCAAATGCTCACCCTCTGCCGAGCTGCTTTCTGTATCAGAGGAGGAAGGGGGTGCTAGGGCTGCAGCCCCAGTGGTGGGCAGGCAGCACCCCTGATCCCCCACACCTTGGGACCCTGGAGAGGAGGGAGCCAAGACGGGCAGGGTCTGCAAAGGGCACCAGCCCTCTGCCCCCTGCAGGCCTTCTGGGGCTGCTGCCCCTGCCTGAGCTCCTGCCTCCATCTGCGGCGGTTGGGACCTACATGAGGCCCAGCTTGAAGTTTCCCATCTCGCCCTGTGGAGAGAAAAGGGCTTGCCTCGGCTTTCAGGGCTGAGCACCAGCCTCTCTGTCCTATGTCCCCGCCAGGCCTTAAATAAAAGCTGAACACCTTGGCTGAGAGAAGTGGAGGTGCGGCCCTCCCCAGCCCAAAGCTGGCCTACGGGGAGCTATGCTGGACCCCAGACAGGGGCGGAGGTGTGGCTTTTAGAACCACACACGCCAAACAAAACAGCCTCTCAGGAAAAACCCTCAGAGCCTCAACTGCCACCACCGGCTTTCCACAAGCCAAAGGGGCCCCAGCAAACTTCCAGCTGCCAGCAGTGTGGGATCCCAAATACACCCACCACAGAGCCTGCCTGCCCTGTCTACAGTTCCCTGTCCACCCTCCCTGTCCACACTGCCTGTCCACCCTCCTGTACACTTGGCTGGTACAAAGTGAGACACAGGACCAAGGTCCATCCTTTGCTGGGTTCCACCTTCTGCCCGCATGGTCATGGGAGCTGGCGGATGGCCAGCTCCCCGGGCTGTCTCCCAGCCCATGTGGCCATCTGCACCCAGCCCGCCCCACGCCCGAGACACACTTCAGAAGAGCTTTGTGGAAGGTTCTGGGCTGTCTGTTTCATGACTCAAGGGTCCTTCCTTTCTTTCCTCTCAGCCAGGGGAGGCCAGTGCCACTGTCCTGAGGACCTTCGGCAGCGGGTGGAGCAAGGCTGTGCTGAGTTCCCGGACCTGCTCCTTGGGCCTCCTCCTCCTGGACGCCAGCCCTTCCTGTTCCTGCACAGCCCTCATGAGGTAGCACAGGCTCACTGCCCACACAGTGGACATGTGTGTCCATGGAGCCCCTGGCCAGGCCTCTCTGAGCCTGCTTCTCTCTCCTCCTGCTCAACCCTCTAGAAGGCTGGCAGTAAGCCCAGAGGCAGCCTGTGCCCTTTGGAGATGCCCACCGCCCAGGAGGCTGCAGGAGGCAGCAGGTAGGACAGGTGGACTCCACTCCAGGGGTTCCACAGGGCCAGCTCTGGTCTTCCCACCAGGTCCTGGGGGAGCCTTTGGCTCTGACCATCCCCTGGGCATGGCCCTTTGCCCCCCACATGCCTCAGTCTCCCCTGACACAGAGGACTGCACAAGCAAGGGGTCTTCCTGGGTGGTGACCAGGAGAGGCCCACAATGCAGCTGCTCAAAAGGGGTCTCTCCCAGGGACTGGTGGTGGAAGTGCAGTTCCACTTGTGTCTGGCTGACAGGGGACAGCATTTGGCCTCCTGCAGCCTGTCTCAGGAAGCCTGCCCCCCAGCACCCTGGAGAGCCCTGGGTGGAGCAGAGCCAGGGGGCTCCCCAGGCTTCACCCAGCTGGGGAAAGGTCCACGTGAGGCAGGGGCAGCTGGGGAGGGGCTTGCGAGCTGGTCACGTTTCCTCAGCCATCTGTGCCAGGACAGGTGCGGTCATACCCAAGTGGGATGCCATGACCAGCCCATTTTACAGAGGAGGAAACCGAGGGTCAGGGTCTCAGAGTTCACCAACGGCTTGCCCAAATCACGTCTGGATTTTTGTCTGACAACTAGAGGGCTGCCTGTCAAACTATGGGGAAGCCAGGAGCCCGGCGCTCCTATTGCCGGACTAAGACCCCCGGGCAAGGTGGACCCCCGCAGCCCTCAGCACCGGCAGGCCGGCCCAGGAGCTAGGGAGGACGGGGCGGGTCTCTGGAAGAGCAGCGGGCACCCACCGCCACCCGCCAGGGGTTCCCTCTGACCTCCGCCTGATGGCACCTGGAGGATTCTGTGAGAGGCGCACTCTGGCGACCCTGCTGCGCAGCGTCCTCCCAGCCGGGCGGGGCCGGGCCGGCGGGGCGGTCCGAGGTGGGCGGAGCCATGCGGGGCGGGCGGGGCCGGCCGAGGTGGGCGGGGCCCGGCGGAGGTGGGCGGGGCAGTCGGCGGAGGTGGGCGGGGGCCGGCCGAGGTGGGGGCGGGGCCCGGCCGAGGTGGGCGGGGCGGCCGGCCGAGGTGGGCGGGGCCGGCGGAGGTGGGGGCGGGGCCGGCGGAGGTGGGCGAGGCGCGGGCGGACCTCACTGCCCCTCCGACTCCCAGAAAAGAGCTCCGTGTGCCGTGGAGGGCTCTGGGCACCCCGGGTGCCCGGGCGTTGCCACGCCCGCGCTCCGACCCGCAGCCTCCTGGGCTTTAGGTCCCGGGGAGCAGGCAGGAGCCACCGGGAGCATGCCGCGAGCGCCTCCCTGGGAGCTGGGGACCGCGTGGAGAAGCCCCAGGGGAGTCTTCCAGGGGAGGTTGGGGACGCAGGAGGCGGCAGTCCACGCCCGGCCGCTGCTCCAGCGATCAGACTGCTCGTCGCTGACGCCGGGGGGTGGGCCAGCGGGGACCCTGGAGGCTGGCACGGTGTTGGCGCGCTGACAAGCCTTGGACGCCCTGCGAGGCGGCGCTGGGACGAGAGCCGCTGCCAGCGGGGTGCATCCCCAGGCGGCTCCGCGTCACGTTCGCCAAGCCGAGAAGGAGCTCCTTTCTCGCAGCTGAAGCACTGACAGAGAAACAGCCGAGATCCGGCCACTGAGGAGCTCCTGTCCCCCAGTGAGCCTGAGGTGGCTGGAGCCGGCTTGTCCCAGCAGGAGGCTGCTGCTGCCTGCTTCCTCCCCAGGAAACGGAGGGGCCCCAGCTTGTCCTTCCGCCTGCCCACCAAGGGCTTCCAGGAGCCCGAAATTAAACATCCACACACTGGGGTTATTGTGACCCCGGGAAGACTGGGAGCACATCCGACTTTCCAGCCTTAAAATGGTCCCAGCTCTTGAGTGGGCTTGCGTCTCTCCCAGCCTCAGGGGTTCCTGGGGCTGTGGTGCTGCGCTGGCACCGGGCTGGGCACAGGGCCTCCTCTAGGCCAAGGTGAGGCCGGTTTTCCCTGGGAGCCTCTTCGCTCTCTGTAGCCAGTCAGAGTTTTCTGGATTTAGAAACCCCAGAGCGATTTTTAATCCTGAGTTCTCCCAGAGTTGTTCTCCCTCTAGGGAGGGGGCCAGCTGTGAGGTGCACCCCTGGGGCCCTGGCATGGCTTCAGGTTAAAGACGCCTCTGAACATTCCCGTACCAGCTCCCCAGGCCTCCCTCCAGCCCCGTGGCCTCCACTGCCCACACACTGCACACTGACCTCAAGTCACCTGCCAGGGACTCCCCAGGTCTGTCCCCTGGGGGCCACTCAGTCTCTGTGGGTGTTTGTGTGACACCCTTGCCTAAGAAGAAAGGGGGGAGCCTCAGGCAGGGCCCACCCCAGCCACATCCCCAGAGCCTCCTGCACTCCCACCAGCCCCCTGTGGCAATCGCCAACCCCAGGACCCCACCTTGCAGAACTCAGGAAGCCGTGCTCTGAGCAGCCCAGCCTGTGTCCAGTCAGAAGCAGGAGCACCTTCAGAGCCCACCTCTGGTCTGCACATGAGGAACCCAGGAAGTTCTGAAGGTGTCATTCCTAAGAGTCCCTCTCCCAGGCAGGGTGTGCAAAGGGCTTGCTGCCCACCAGTGGCCAGGCAGGGGCTGAGGAATGAATGCTCCTGACACTCTGTCCAGGGCAAGACCCCTGTGGTGTGGGAGGGAGGCAGGCCAGGGTCTCCACTGTCCTCAGAACTCAACCCTCACCAGCAGGAGTTTGAGCTCGGATTCTGCCACCAGTGCCCAGAGACCCTCACTGTCCCTGCCCACACCAGGAGCAGCTAGCTGCCAGCTGACCTCTCCATCCTGCTCACCTCTGCACCTTCTGTCTAGAATGTTCTTGCCACCCCACCCAACACATGACCTCCCCTTTCCAGCTTAGTGCCCAGTTTCCGGAGGAAGCCCCTTTCTAGCTCTTCCAGGGGCCCTCAGAGATCGCCATCACTGGTGACCCCCCATTTCCCTTATGTGGAGTGAGGCTTGCAGGGTCACAGCCTCCTGTCCAGCCCAGCCAGGTCAGTCAACGCCCCTGGGATCACAGTTCATAATTGTGCCTCCTCGCTCTTCCTTCCCACCCTCCTACCCCCCTTCCTCTCTCCCTCTGTCCCTCCTCCCCCCTTCCTCTTTCCCTCTCTTCTTCTCTGCCTCTGTCCCTCCTTCCTCCGCCCTCCATCCCAGAGTGAGCTCCTTGGAGGGAGCAACTGTGGGTGTGGAGAGGAACAGGGGACAGGGGAGCCTGGTGGCCTCACCCTGTGGCAATAAACAGAGTTCAGCCCCCAAACCTCCCCCCAAGGGATTCAGCCCACAGCCCAAGGAACCCAAGGGCCATGGCTCTGTCCCTCTGGTGTCCCCAGAGCCACTGCTGGGATGTTTTCCCTCCTTTATTTTTAAAATATTTACTTTTTAGTCTTCAGTGGACACAACATCTTTATTTTATTTTTATGTGGTGCTGAGGATCGAACCCAGTGCCCCGGGCATGCCAGGAGAGCACGCTACCGCTTGAGCCACATCCCCAGCCCAAAACCTCTCGTCAGTGCCTTCACTGGCCCGCAGGCCTAAGATGCGGGTATTGAGAGGCTGCAACACACTGTTACAATGTGTCTCCTGCTTGGTAATCTCAGCCAGTTGGCAAGCGTTGGCTCCATCAGGGTTCCAAAGTTGGGGACAGCTTCACCAGGTGATGATGCAAGGCAGGCGTATGTGTGAGGCTTCCAAGTGGGGACACCAGCTCTGTTCCCTGTGTGCCACCCACCTGGCCCAGCAGAGCTACTCCTCATACCTTGCCGGCAAAGGTCAGGCAGGCCGTGGGCCGCCCGGGAACCCTGCCATCCCTAGGGCAGAAGCTGAGTTTCCAGTGGCCTAAGGGGCTCCTGCGTCATCCCCTAAGTGGCCGTTGAGGAGTGATCAGGTCAGTGGCAGCCTGCCTGGCATTCAGCATCAGTGGGAAGAGGCCAGCGGGGCATGGGAGTCGGCTTCTGTGTCCCTCCCAGGAGGTTCGAGGTAGGGACGGAGCAGAGTCCAGGTGCTGCCGTCCTGCAGAGGGGCCAGGTGTGGGCCAGAACAGGTGGACTCACTCTGCCGCTGGCATCCAGGAACAGTGGCCACAGGTAGCCAGGCTGGGCTACAGTCTGTCTTGGGGACCCTGTGGCCCTCATAACTACAGTGTCCCCTCTCTTGCCACTCTGTAGACGGATGCCACCCTCAGCACCCAACGGCCTACTGGGGAGGGCAGGCAGTTCACAGCTTCCCTGCCTGTGCTCACCTGCTGGACACCCTGGACACCCCAGCAGACCTCACTTATCCTCCCCCAAAGCAACCTTTGCCCACATCAGCAGCCACTGCTGTATCCGAAGATTTCCAACTATAGGAGGGAGTGAGAGGGCGCCCCTGCACCTCCCAAGAGTGACAGGGACACACCAGCCTGAAATTCCAGAGGAGCGGCTGGCTCTGAGTCACAGGAGGGAGGAGGGCCGAGTGCTGGAGAAGCCTGGCCTCTGCCTCACCTCCAGCATGCTTCTGTAATCTCTCCTTGGCTAAGAAAAGCTACCTTTGTGTTTCCTGAAGCAGGGGGTCTCGATGGAGGAAAGAGAGGCAGAGGGTCCCGCAAACACCATGCCCCAATGTGGGCGCAGTATCTGGGCATAGAGGTCCGTGCCTGGCTTGCCAACCCAGCCTCACTGTGTGAGGCCTGCAGACCAGGTCACAGTGTGCAAGATGGCCTGACAGGAGGGAGCCTGCAGCAAGGGCCCCACATGGACAGGCCAGTGCAGAGGTACTGGACCCATCTGCTAGGAGACCTTATATAAGCACCCTTGCTCCTGCTGTTACTCCTGCCTCTGATAAGATCAGGGCCACCCCAGGCCTTGCCACGCAGAGTCCAGGCCTGCCAGGACCGCGGCTGCTGGTCTGGAGCGACGCTGCAGACCTGAGGGGATCCTGGGCTCCAGGAGGGCTCCTGTTGCCTCAGGAGGGGCTGCTCGGCATCCTCAGAGTCCAGGCCCTGAACTGCTGCCTCACCATGCTCCCTGTGCCCAGGACTGGCTCAGGAGAGGGAAGCCGGGCGGGCGGCCTCCTTGAACGGGTGGGTGGAGGCTCCCGCAGACCTGGCTGCCTGCTTCCCCAGGAGGGAGCACGTTTCTGTGGAGGGCCCCCCGGCTGCATTCCTGCGGACACATTCCAGGCCCGTTACGGAATTCCACAGCGCGACCAAGAGCTCTGTCAGTCCCTGAGTGACGTGAAATCGTGTCAGCTGCAGAAAACGGACTTGATTTAGTGGATGTGGCCCTGATTTTGCCCAGCCGCACACCAGCATTCCAAAGAGCAGCACAGCTCTGCCTGCATTTCCCCCAGCAATCCTAATCGCAAGCTTTGTGATGGAAAAATGCGTCTGCCTGCAAGCCCATCAGCCCAGCCTGGTCCGGTCAGCCCGGGGTGTGCAGGAGAAGCCAGCCCTCGGTGACCTTGGGCATAGTTGCTCCTCGGTGGCTCTCAGCAGAGGGCCAGCTCGCCTGGTGCCTGACACACGCTGGAGGCTGACAGAACCCCTTCTCCTCTCCGGCTCAGAGAAAAAATGGGTTTAATTAAGACTTCCGTGATTAGTCATTTAATCAGTCATTAGGCCAACACAGATGGAGTCAATTAATTTTTTTTTTTTACTTCAAAAGATGATGTTGCCAGCCTGCGCAGCCTCTCTGAGCCGACCACGGGCGACCATGTGCACCTAACTCCAGCCTTGCGTTCCCTCCAAAGGCTGCCGCACTCCTGACAGGGAGACACAGTGTCCTGGGCTCCCACCTTCCTCAGCCTGGAGATGCAGGATGGTGGCCAGCTGCTCCCTCCTCCAGCATGAAGAAGCCACACCATCAGGACAGCCCAGAGGGGCTTCCAGCTGGCCACAGAATACCAACCCCAG